CGAGTAGGAACTGGCAAGATTATAACAACGTTGCCAGATGATCGGTACTGTCGGCTGGGCACGGAAGAAACTTCCTGATCGTAACGTTGTCGAGTGGGTAGGGATTAAGGACTAGTTGTATAGGTGCGCTTGACTGACTGCATCCATTCAATTTTTTTGTTATATCCGTTCGTAGCTGATTTTTTTTTCTCAGAAAGGTTAACTTTTGCCGTAGATAGTATTTACTGACATATTAGCGCATTACGTGGGTATTGCAGTCAAGCTACTTGACGTCGTTTTTTCAGTATGTGTTACGATTTCGTCCTGTGAGGATAAGAATAGATCCGAAGAAATTCTAGTAAATCTAAGGAGATGCAGGTATCCCCTCGTCCATGAACTATTGCCCCAAAGTTAAAGTTTCACAATATCTAATAGAGTTCTGGTATTTCTGTTTCGTGCATCTATAAGAAATTGTCGTGTTCAATGAGAACACTTATTTAAGGAACCTACACGTGTCGGCTTCTGGATTAAAATCCATTTCTGGTTTATATTTGCAAAAACCGCGCAAAGAAGCGAACTTTTTACTCGGTCACTGTAGAGAGCAGCTTACATAGATAAAACTTTCACGATTTAATTTGAAAGTTTTCACGTTCTATAAGAGTGCATTCGCAGGATATGCCGCAGCTTGTAAAATGAGCGCGCGGGTGTGGTTTTATTGTTAAACTAGGTTTCCACTAGTTTCAAATGGAAAACCGAGCCTCGTATCTGGGCCAAAACTTTGGCTGCAAAATATGAATGGATAATAAGTTCATGCTACATCTAGAATAATTAAAGCCGATAACAAATTTTAACTTTTCTCCTGTTTCAACCATCCACGCTCAATTACTTCCTACGGTACTGGCGATGAAGAATTGTAGTCGCGGACAATTTCGCAAATGAGATACTGTTTTGTGGATGTTGCTTAACATGTACATCACGATAAACCGTGTCACTCATTTACGTCGGTCTGTCTGTCAATTTGTCTGCTAATCCTTGACCAATCTATAACCTGGAAATAATCTATCGAACTTTTGGCAAACTTTCACTCAATGTACTATACCAAAAACGAATGATTTCTTGAGAACGCTGGTGAACAAAATTAAAATATTTTATTGTAATATGGACAAAACAAGGTGATGTTATGTAAAACCTACCCAAAAAGCCGGAAATAACATTCGATTTTTTCCATCACTCACGGTTTTATTGCAATAAGGCATTTTATCTGCTCTTATACTCGTAAAATATAAGGATATGTGTGTGTAAGAGTACTAATAAACACTCGAATAAACAATAATCTCAGAATGTTGTTGTCGATGTTTTACGGCAATATGTTGCTCCTGAAGTATCTCTTAACAATGTCCAGCAATAATCAGTAAGCAAATTTACACTCCATTTGCCTTCATACCGTTTTTCCATAGCTGAAATGTTTGGTGGAACCGTTCACCATGTTCATCACTTACCGCACCTAAATTTTCCGGAAAAAAATCGAGATGAGAATCCAAAAAGTGAATTTTTAGAGACATGTTACATCCCATTCCTTTTTAAGCATTAATTAGTTCACTCACAATATCTTTATAATTGTCCATCTTCACATTGCCTAAAAAATTTGCAGTAACTTCCAAGCTCGCAATTCAGTTTAATTTAAAGCAGTGTCAAATACACCATCCTTCATGATTTTCCGTATTTGTGGACCCACAAATATGCCCTCTTTAATTTTTGCCTCACTAAGTTTCGGAAATGTTTGTTTTAGATGCAGAAACCCCCTTCCATTTTGATCCATAGTTTTCACAAAATTTTTCATCAGTCCCAACTCAATATGCAAAGGTGGAAGCAACATGTTTTTGGGATCAACTAGTGGTTCATGTGCAATGTTTTTGAGGCCCGGAGTTGATACCTGACGTAGTGGCCACTCCCCCTGTTCACAATGACGATCTCACGCACGACTGTCCCATTCACAAAGGAAACAACAATATTTGGGGTATCCCAGTTGCATTACCTTTAAATCTGCACATATGGCCCATCCATATTATAACGGATATGCTCTAACAGAATTTGCATATTTTCATATGATCCCTTCATATGAACTGCGTGGGCTATTGGTACAGATGGATATTAATTTATTACCGTTGTGTACCAATACGGCTTTTAAACTAAGCTTAGAGGAATTAATGAGCAGGCGCCAATCATTTGGATCATGATTCTGTCATAACACGTCAAACAAATTGTTGACATCGGAGCAATATATATCAACTCCCTTTCATGACTGAAACAGTGTGTGAGGTCTTGTTGCCGTTTTCGGTAAAAAGTAATGTTAACATCACCGTGGAGAAGACTCCACCCTTTTAATCTTGACACTAAAAGTTCTGACTGAGATGTTGACAGATTTAATTCTCGAACTAAGTCATTGAATTCGCCCCGTGTGATCAAATGCGGCGCTGTTGAACATTCTGGCAGGTCAAACGAAGGATCGGAAATTTTTACGCTTTCTGTACCACCACTTTCAGAATTGGTGGATTCGACTTTTTCATCCAAAGACCATGTCTGGTGGAACTGGGACAGCAAGTTCATCACTGTGCTTAACGGGCCGCAAAGCTGATATGGTAAATTAAAATACTTAACAGTATGTTTCGATTTTGGTCCAATACCTTTAATATTTGTGAGGCAAAAATAGCAATCAGTAGACTGGTCTCTCGCTCCTCTCCAAACCATTGGTACCACAAAAGGCATTTTACGATTGTCGCCTCTTAACCAACCTGTTAACAATGTTACACAAGTCTTACAACATATATGAGGGGCCCATAGTTTATCTTGGTCGCCAAATTTAATTCCAAAATAAAGTTCGTATGCACACACAAGCGGAGTAAAAGTACTTTTATGGGATTTAAAAGTTAGCTCTCCGCACACATAACAAAAATTGTTCGCACCATTTACACAATTTCTAGGTATTGTCCATAAAGCTAGTCTCGATCACAATAAACTAAAAACAACACACCGTTTTAACATACATTAACAGTACTCAGAAAATCTCAGTACTCTTCAACACAGAAAACGTAACTGACTCGGCTGCTATTAGTCTACTAATAAACTCAGTTTTTTTTTTGGAAAAACGCTCAGACCCGTCGATTTTGTTTTCGAGGGGGACACAAGTTTGGCAAAAAATCACGTTAACACGTGCAGCCCCTTGGGCAGGGGTGGCACCAACCCTAAAATCTTAAATGGAAAGGGGAGTCGAGTGATACCTTTAAGGTCTTTAAAGGTCTTTCAGTTCCCTTTATAATGTAAAATACATGAGCGTCAGTTCGGTAGTTTTGAGATTTATTGATTTAACGCTTAAAGTAGACTTTAATAGGTACATCGGATTAGTTTGTACTACTAGTAAACTTCGGAAAACTGGGTCAGTCGCCAATAAAAAACGCAACATTGAAAATCCCATAAGGAACGAAGCAATAGAAGTGGGGTTTTAGGGCAAGTTTATGTAGATCCTACGTTAAGTACCCGCAAACTGGAGACTGTGTGCGGTGTTAGTCGACGTACTGTCCAACGGATTCTAAAGGCCCATAGTTTTAATCCGTATAAAATTCACCTGGTACAACAACTTAATGAAGACGATTTTGATCGACGATTACAATTTTGTGAAGATATGAGTGAACGAATTATAAACAATGGACATTTTCTATTCAACACTTGGTTTTCCGACGAATGTTCCTTTTTCTTAAATGGCGTAGTAAATTGTCATAACTGCCGATATTGGTCCGATTCTAATCCCAGAATTTATCATGAGGTTCATACACAGCAGCCACAAAAAATAAATATTTGGGCTGGTATTTTTGGCGATCATTTAGTTGGTCCTTTTTTCTTACCTCTAAATTTGACCGGTGAAATGTATTTGAAATAGGTTGATGGTGCCCCACCACATTACGCATTACGTGTTCGACAATATTTAGATCAGACGTTTCCAGATCGATGGATTGGTAGAAGAGGTGCCATTGAATGGCCCCCATGATCGCCAGATTTATTACCTTTGGATTTCTTTATGTGGGGTCATTTAAAAAGCAAAATCTAAGCTACTCAGCCAACATCATTAGAAGACCTGTGACAAAGAATTGTGAATGAGTGCCTTCAAATTACTAATCAAATATTGCAAAATGTGCGGCAACGTTTTGACCAAAATTTTTATTATTGCATGGAGAGTCATGGTGTCCATTTTCAACATTTGCTTGCCTAACGAGTCAGTTCATTCTTCATTTTTAAATTACTTTGCTGCCAATTGTATTGATCTCCACTAATGATGATGTATTAGTTTTATTTAAGATTTAAATCAATAAATCTTCAAAACTACTGAACTGAAGTAGATTAATTTTATATCATTATAAAGGGAATTGAAAGACCTTTAAAATAAGGTATCACTCGACCCCCCTTTCCATTTAAGATTTTGGGGGTGGTGTCACCCCCGCTTAGGGGGCTGCACGTGCTAACGAGATTTTTTGCCAAACTTGTGTCCCCCTCGAAAACAAAATCGACGAGTCTGAGCGTTTTTTTTAAAAAAAAACTGAGCTGCTAGTAAATGCGTCTGTTTCGTTTCCGATGCGCCACCCTGTATGTGCGTCATCGCATAAACGCCGAGAAATGCAGCATATATGGGATGTTGTTAAGTAATGTAATTCATAAAAGTAGATGTTACCGAATATCTGTGGATGATAGAAAAATTCTGTTTTTAGATTTTATTTAAGGGTCTCAAAATACATGATTCACCCAAAAATTGACATGTCACAAATACTGTGTTTATCAGTTTAATCGATCCACTGGCGGTGGAGCTACGGGCAGAAAAGTACTCTATTAGTATTACTTCCACAGAGGAATTGCAATAGCTGTAATAACAAATTCAAATGATATAACTACTCACAGATAATACAAAATACATGCAATATAAGTATATATCTCTGGTAGATAGCTTATCAATGTATGGAACCAACAGGTGTACATATGACTAAAAAGTATAACACATTTGTCAATGATCAATCCCTTTAGGTGCAACTATGTGCAAGTGCATAATTTTATTCTTACTAGTTATTGGTACCGGAAATATATCTGCCGGGCCTTTGTATCCTGCTATGAAGATATTGAAGAACGTTAGTTCGTACACCAGTATACCACCTGGTGCATCAACAAACCTTGTAGAAGGAAACTGCACAGACGTCCAACCACCAGACGTCGGATATGCGATAGATGTGTTGGAAAATTATCCATATAACGTCAGTGCTACGGTAAAAAATTAGCTTATTTAAATTTAAAAATGACCGTTCCAGTCATATAACTTCACATTTAATTCCATCAGCCGTTCGTTTCCACAAATATAGCATATTTTCATTTTTTGCTTCATATTTATGCCGCATTACACGGACAAAAAGATACTCTATAATCCCATTCGCAGTCAATTTACGCCCAAACAAACATGCTAAAAAGCGAGATTGTACAGGTCGGTATTTTGCTCAATGGTCGTCCAATTTTTCACGACAGATAATTTGACTGTTCTATTGTTTGATGCCAAATAGTTTTTTATATTTGCCCAAATCACTTCAATGGGATGTAATTCGCAATGATAAGGGGGTAGCCCTAAAACGCTCTTAGGAGTCATTGTTGAATTTCTGTCTTTTTTGTGGACATTATGGGAATTCTTTCTGCTTTTCTAATGCAGCATTATGAACTACAATGGCATTGTCGTCAAGCTATGGGAGCGTTTCTTCAAACCATCGTTCAAATGAACTCTCGTCCATTTCTTAATGGTAGTCGGTCGTTTTCTTTGACTCAAATGCCCATAGGGTAGTGGGCACAAAGCCATCTTCACTGCCAATGTGACAGATAGCAAATCGTTTTCCTTTTTGCTGGAAAGAATTATTTCATATAGTATTCAAGAAAACTAATAATACTACAAGCATAGTATCTAATAGGTGATGGTTCCAAATCTACCAGATATAGCTAAGTTTTCAGTGTGGGGTCATAGATTCAGTCTGCCTGACATCATTTTTACAAGATAAATGACGAATAGATACACGTACCTGACAGCTTCTCCAGGCCAGTGGTTAGTCGATCTAAGAAGGCTTGCTGATTTAATTGTAGAGTCAGTCCGTACTTTCGGTTTTGTATGTCCTGTATTTATCCAGGTTTCATCCAAGTACTAAATCTTCCTGCCCTGGTCGCGGTATTTATTTATTGATTCTAAATAATTTCTTCTCCTTAAATTAATCTCTTGGCTGTCCATCAAAATACTATTTCTGTGGTCCTTTCGAAAGTAGGTAAGTCTTCACCACTACTAACCTCCTGTAATACGTTGTCTATGGTGGGAAGTTCCTGCATTTCAAAAAATTGATGGACGTTGCATTCCGATCAATGTTATCAACTGTTTCAAACAGCTTTGTGTAATGCAGCCTCTTGTGTGATGGAGACAATATTTTGTATTTTTCTTATGATCTTCAACAATGTTGAAAATTGTCTTAGAACATGAGCCTGTTTTCTTCGCCACGTGTCTTTCAATATCATGAATTTTCAATTCAGGATGCTCTCAAATTTCGCTCTCATAAACGTTGAGGGCAATTTATTTTGCCTGAATATTCAAATGTCCCTTTTTTCTGGGAGGAAACATGGCTGAAGGAAGCATTGGGGGAAATATTCTCAGTTTCATCTATTGTATCCGTAGACGACATCCTAACGTATAATCACACGCTATGTATGCACCGAAAATGAACAGCAACTGCCGTGGTCGACGTGCTGGCGATGCCCCGAGCCTGAGTCCTATCCTGTCGAATTCTGCACTGTAGTTTTAAGGCCGAGTGACCAAAACCGATTGCAACGCTTAGGCGGCTGCCGCTTCGCTGCGCTGCATCTTTGTTGTGCCGGGGCGTCAATGGACTACGAATAGGGTATATACGATTCGTTCTTGTTAGTAAACTACGAGTTAGATCCAGTTAGAGGGGATCTAGCATGTGATTGGGTTTGGTTTGGTTTGAACGTGATATAGCAGGCAGTCGAGATGCAAGTGAAGCCTAACTCGCCAATTTTACAGTTGTCGAAATTTCGTCTTAATTCGCATTTTTCTGCGAAAACGTAAAAGTGCGTGCCCTTCCATTTTGCAGACAATTGCGGAAAATAGGAAATGTTATGTGTATTGCAAAAAGCAGTTTGTGCTTGATAAAAGAAGAACCCTTTTATCGATAAGTGTTAACGTATTATAGCTACTGGCGTTGCTAAAATGGGTCTTTTCACAACAGTTGTGAGGTAATTTTAATTTATGTCTTCTAGTTAAGTATTTTGTCCTAATCAAAGGTTTTTTTGTTAGAATTTTTTACCTGTCACAACATTATATATGAAGAATATTGGACACAAACAAATATTTTTGATGTACACTAATTAAATAAATCTCTTACAAATTATTTCATTGGATCAACATACTAACAGTGATATATGGAACAGCAGTAATTCCTATATTACGTTTAACTATGTATGCATTTGCTTTTAACCAAGAATCTTCCTGGGTACGAAAAACTACTTAGAATAACCAAGTTGAGTTTGCAAGGTATACTGCTATTTCCAATATCAGATATTCAGCCATTGCTGCTGTTTAATGAATATAATTGTACTTACCTTTCACCTTCCAAAATCAGGAATCACGCCAAAATTATTGATATGCTGTACCGTTAAAAATATTTGCTTTCGCTCCTTCTTTAACTTACGAGGAATGTCTTTCAAGTTTTGCATATACAAACACAGTAGGCCGCTGTGATCGAACGTCAGTACTGAATCTTAACCTCACTCGTTATAGTAAACTTAAATTTCGAAAAAGATGGTCGCTACATTTGTGTCAAAAGCGGGTCGTTTGCAACAATTCCTCTTAATGGGCAAAGAACTGTTACTGCGGATTGATATACCACCATTTGTTTCCAAAAGTCATCACCGAGCTTCGAAAAATCAACCCCGAAAGACGAATCATCCTCCACCAAGACAATGCAAGCTCGCACACAGCCCAAAAAACAAGGCAGTATTTAACGGAAGAAAACGTGAATTTATTGGACCATCCTCCATATAGTCCCGATCTAAGTCCTAACGATTTCTTTACTTTCCCGAAAATTAAAAACAGACTGCGTGGTCAAAGGTTCCAGTCACCAGAAGAAGCAGTTGACTCATTCAAAAATGCCGTTTTCGATCTGCCAGCAAAAGAGTGGAATAATTGGTTCGAGCGCATGCAGATGTGTATTAATCTTCGTGGAGGATACTTCGAAAAACAATAAAGTCATTTAAAACTACCTACCATGTTGTTTTATTTCCATATACAAAACATAAAAGACATCGTAATGAGTTATTTACATCGCAACACAGTATTATTTCTGCATTGCTGTACTTGAGTACACCCAGAAAAAGGGGCTACTTGAATAAGAAAAGACAGGAATGTACGTTGCTGTATTGGTTTGTCACTTTGGTAGGCATTCGTAGCCAATCTACCCAAAATTAGGAAATTTTGGCGGCAAACATCTAACACTGATGATATCGAGTATGCCTCTAAACCTTTGGTATATGATTACGTTATGACGTAGTGAACTAGGTTGGAAATAGTATCGTTATTTAGCAAGCGCTCCAATGATTTCAACATTATTTTTGTTCCAGGTAATATTTTTTAAGCTACGCCCACCAAAGATATATTGCGTTACAGCATACTCTTTGGATTCTGATCCGCATTCCATTGCTTACATTGGAAAAGGAGGATTGAACTACGACCATGTCAGCGTTGAACTACGTGCTACTAATCCACACTATGGTTTTAAGTATAATATTACTGTTTACTTGACAGATACTCTTGCAAATATCTTGTAAATATTTTGAAATCCAATATATAATTCTAAAACATTTGAATAGCTTATTTTTAAGGTGCCTGCCGTAGTGAATCCAGCGTGTGGAGTCTGGATATGACGGCATTATTTGCAAGCGGGAATAACGGGTTTATTTTTCACACAAAATTTGGCTTCACGATACTTTAGGTTCCTCTTATGATCATGTTCGAATTCGGAGTACTAAATTACGGAAGTAAACATTTTTCACCTTGCATGTATACAGGATATTCGGGGGTCGATATAAACATCTCATTTGGAATACATTAAGCAGATCCCCTTGTGCAAAGTCGAACTGTTCTCAAGTTGAACGCCATTTTATGAAATCTTATAAAAAACACAAAATCAATAAGGAAGCCCCTTTCGAAATAAGACTGCACAAATGCTATCTATTAACAGAATCGACCACTGCGCGAATGAATACCGTGACCTCTAGATGCCGTCGATTCTGATTGTATATTAGATGCGGTCTATACACGCCCTTGCACAAACTAGTATTATAGTTTTCGTCTGTCCGACCACTTACGGTCAACCAACAGGCAGCTTTGTACTGCCATTTTGGATAGCCCTTATACCTCGAATGGATGATAGTTGTTCATCTTCCGTTCGTTATTCAACCTAAGACCAAGCCTAAACCATGCTAATGAGTTGCCAAAAAGCACAAAACAGCTATCTATAGTTCATACGAAAGCTATATTAACAGCAGCTCATTTGTTTTGTTATTCTTCCCATTCATCTTGATGCCTGGTTTTCTAATAGAAATTGTTTGCAAGTTATCTAAAGATCGCGTACACGTTATAAAAAATTGTCTTAGTTCTCTGGATAGTTCGATTTTGTAATGGATCGTGGACCGTATACAATTTTATTGCAAAAGTTAAATTTACAATCAACGAAATAATTTCCTGCACTTATGGTCTGGTATATAATTCGAAGACATTAAGGCCATGATTTTTCTCACAACAAGCTATTAGAACAAGCAGAATCTCATCGAGATTTCGAAAAACCATAGAAATAAATTATTCATTCACTGAATCTCAAAAAGGAAAACCGTTATTTTATATAGATTTTTCCGCACCTTTTTAAACCCCTGCAATATTAGTCAGCTTAGTCGATACGATATACGAACTATACAAGTTCAAAATATTGAAAAAAACAGAAACTTCGATAAGCAACTTTGCTCTTTCTCAACATGTTATTGCTGTTTTTTGTTCACTTCCATGCCCTGCCTGATACTCACTTTTGTATTGCTGTAGTAAACCCACTAGTTCATATGCGGGCACGAAAATGTATTAGAAATGCACATGACGTCGAGAATTTTATTTTCTGCACAGTAAATATACATAGTGTATCACGGTTTTGTATTTCTGATGAGTATTGCTTGCTCTAAAGTTTTGTAATGTCATGGAAAGTGCTAATTGAATTTCTGTTTGGTTCCATTTCTTCCATTCTTCAGGTATGCTAGAAGGTGCTGTGAAACCAAATTATTTCTTGTCAACCTACTACTACCGCTGGGATACGAAGCGAGATTGAAAAAATATAAGAAATAATAGTGCACATTTTGAGATTAAGAGAATGAACAATTTTGTAACTATCAGGTGTTTTATTTTACGAAAAATCAGTTTTATGGTTTTCCGTACTTCGATTGAGGTTGTATTGGTTACTAAAGGCAACAATGTACTGCAACATGTACAAGACTTTGTAGTAAGGTTTATGTTACCTAATGTGTTCGAAATGGTATATCAGCTCCTAAAAGGATTGTATCGATCTTCCCAACATCGTGTATCTAGTCTGAAAAATCAATTCACTATCATCGGTCACCACCTTCATGTTTCCTATAAACCAACCTCGTTCTGTACTCTATGGTTGATGAATAGACAATCGAACACACTAGAAACTGAACAAGTACTAATTTAGATTACGCAGCGAACAATTGCTGTCTCATTTAAGCAATTAACGGTAGCTATATACGCACAAATCGCTAAATGTTTCTCTCTAATTACTTAGAGGCAGGAGGGAGATGAGATTGTGTTGTAATAGTGTTAGTGCGCTACAAACTTGGTTGTTGCCTAGGCTGTATACTTACTTACTCAACATATTCAATGTCTGGGGGCTCCAATAGACATTAATATATGCTGTCATTGATTAGGATGTAGATATACACGATGGAAGCGAAGCAACCCTTAACACTCATTGCTTACCAGAAATCTTAAAATTGTGGGTTTTCATGTATCAATTTTACACCGAAATCGCCAAATGGTGAATTTTGAGGGTTGATTCTTTGCGAAACGTCGAAGAAGCTTTTCGAAGATACTCGCGTATCTGCAATCAAGATCAACGATGCTCCTCCTCTAAATGATCAATCCGATTCATAACTTTGCTGACGATATCACTAGTATCGACCGCCTCTCCGACGAGAGATCTTGTCGCTAGAAGTGCCTGGGGACTCAACAAACTGGTAAAGTTCAATGCTTCCAAACCACAATTCAGTACCTTGACTAACAAGAAGCGCCCTAGAGTACATCCGGTTTCGATGGATGGCCGAGTTCTGCCAAAGAGCCATTTGTTTCTGCTGGTAGGAATCCAGATCACCCAGGACTTAACTGGCACGATCACATCCCCTCAATCCCAGCAGCTACAGGGAAAGGTTACTTCTTTAGCGCTAAGCAGTATTTTTTGCCACATAATATTCTTACTGGATACAAGGCCTTGATAAGGTCTAGACTCAAGTATTGCTCACTAGTTTGGAGTTCTGCCGCCCCCCCCTGGATCGTCATTACTCGATGCTGTTCAGAGAACGGCTGTGCGACTGATCGACGAGTCTACTTCATTTGCACCGACAGGCTGTCGGCATTTTGGCTGTTCGGATTAACAAGATGTTGTCAAGCTCCTTATAGCAGTTGTGGTGCCCCGTATTTAGGTTTCTGCTCAGGCGGCTGCATCAGTATAAAGAAACTTCAAATTGCCTGTGAATCCAATTTTGTTCACACGTAGCTACCGAGAACGAAATTGAAGAACGTTTTAAAAAATTCTTGTATTTCCGAAAAAAAAAAAATTGACCCTGAAAATAACTCAAATTTTAAGTAGATCTTGTTTATGAAGTGTTTCAAGTTGAACACTCAAGACATATGTATTTTAAATTTTCATCCACATTGTTCTTTTTATTTAAGTACTTTTTTTGCTCTTTTAAAGGTTCAAAGTACTCAATTTTGTTATTTTTGTACAAATTTACAGGCGTAGGCGAAAATTACTATTATAGAACATTTTCAAAATATCCTGACGGAAAATCTCCCAACAAGTGCCGAAAAGACACTGTCCGCGAAAGTTATGTACAGCGTTTTTTCTACCATGTACCAAATGTATTATAATTGATTTTAATAACAAAAGAGAAGTTGCTAGCATTTTGAAGATATATCGCGGTCGACAAAATCCTGGGTCGTGAGGTAGTGCACTCAATCAATGATTAAATTTAACACCCGACACGCGTGCGGAAAAGTGAGACTTTCCAAACTGAAATGAGTGCGAAAAATTAATGTATGCCCAGGCATTTTAGGAAACAAAGTGATTGGGTCATTGTTTATTAATGGAAATCTGAATGGAGACATATATATATATAGATATGTTGGAAAATGCCATCAATCCGTTTATCACTGAAACCATTAAAAACCAAATCGAAACCGTATACTTGATGAGAGTGAAATATATTTCCTGCAAGACGGCGCTCATACTACGTTCTTCCGATTTGGCAATGGCTAGACGACGAGTTTCCAGATAGATGGATAGGTCTAAGAGGGCCTATAGAATGGCCTGCTAGATCTCCTGATTTGACGTCATTAGACTATTTTATACGGTTCCATTTGAAATCTATTGTATTTTCTCACCAATCTGAAAGTTAGGATGACCTTCGTCAACGCATCATCGAAAGCTGCCATGATATCCCACAACATGTTATTGAAAATGTCCGTCAGGAATTTGAACATCGCCTAAACCATTGTTTGGCCAATAACAGGCAACATTTTGAACACCTATTGAAATAAAGAGATATTTTCCTATGTTTTTGTTTTCTATCTGAACAAATTCTTGTTCATAGGAAAGTCATTGGTTCCGATTAAAAAAGTGACAATTGGCCTTCATCTAGGAATCACGAAAATATCAAAACTTTGTTTTTAGTTGAATGGGAAAGTCGGGCGTCGGATCTTCAATAGTACCACTTCAATATAAACAGAACTGCAGATTCAGAACATTGTTTTCTTACAAAGAACGGACCCATAAGAAGGTCATTTTGATCGATTAATTTTGTTCACTCTTAAAGTTATTAATAGCTTAATTGATATCGATATATACTAATTTTTTTACATTTTAATGACGTGTTTGTTTTAAGTTAAGCGATTGATCTGTTATTGTGGATAAATAAAGACGTCTATTATTATTATTATTATATTAGCCTTGTATGGAGCTCTGTTCTTTGCAACGCGATTCGGAAGAGTTCAATTGAACTTAAATTCACTGAATGCTGAGTAACTCTGCAACAAAAAAAATAGAAGTTACATAATAAAACAAAGTGTTGCCTAATAATATTTGTTTATTTAATCCAGTAAATAAAGGAAAAATAATATTTGTTGTGGAAGGCTTCCATGGTGTTCCACCTTATGTATAACAAATCGCACATTTGCTGCCGTCAACATTTTATGAATATTTCATGTTTTAGGTATAGGATGGCGCGCTAAAGATGTCGTAATTGATTCCTCTTAACAATAGATATTCGTCCCAGAAAATTCTGTTAGACAAGCATTTCCATCGTCGAATTTTAAGTTGTCCGTTAAGATTACACGCCACGTTTCGGCGTCGTTCGAAATTTTATCATCCAGCAAACATCGGCAGACTTCTCGTTCCGTAAAATGCCGTAATAAAATTTGAAGTGTTATTTGGCAGGCATCCCGCCAACAGACGGACGTTATATGCGCGACGGCATAGCGTTGTGGAGTAACAGCTTGTCGATCCATAGCATAGAACTGATTATAA